AGAGTTCCATTCAACAAGAAGACAACAAACCAGAATATATATATATACACACACAACATAGGAGCATTCAATTCATAAAACAAGCTCTTAGAGACCTATGAAGAAGCTTAGACTTCCACACAATAATAGGAAACTTCAACACCCCACTGACAGTATTAGACAGACCACTGAGGCAGAAAACTAAACAAAGACATTCAGAATCCGAACTTGACATTTGACCATATGGACCTAGTAGACATCTACACAACTCTCCACCCCAAAACAACAAAATATACATTCTTCTCATCTGCACATGACACATACTCTAAAATTGATCACATAATCATCATAAAACAATCCTCAGCAAAAGCAAAATAACTCTCAGAGTTTTGTTTACCAAACACACTCTCAGAGCACCGCATAATAAAAATACTAATCAATACTAAGAAAGCCACACAAAACCATACCATTACATAGAAATTAACTAACCTGCTCCTGAATGACCTTTGGGTAGGCAATAAAATTAAGACCAAAATCAAGAAATGTATTGAAATTAATGAGAACAAAGATACAACACACTAGAATCTCTGGGACACAGCAAAAACAGTGTTAAGAGGAAAATTTATAGTACTAAACACTCACATTGAAAAGTAAGATCTCAAATCAGCAATCTAACATCATACTGAAAGGAACTGGAGATACAAGAGCAAATCAATCCCAAAGCCAGGAGAAGACAAGGAAAACAAAAACAAAAACAAAATCAGAGCTGAATTGGAGGAAACTGAGATGTGAAAAACCACACGAAAGATTAACAAATCCAGGAGCTGGTTCTTTGAAAGAATCTAAATAAAGAAAATTTATTTAGGCTAATAAAGAAAAAAAGAGAGAAGATTCAAATAAACACAATTGGAAATTACAAAGGGGATACTAACACTGACCACACAGAAATACAAAAAGTCCTCAGAGATTACTAGGAACACTTCAGGGCATGCAAGTTACAAAACCTAGAAGAAATGGATAAATTCCTGGAAACATGCAACCACCAAGATTAAACTGGAAGAAATTAAATCCCTGAACAAATTAAAAATGAGTCCTGAAATTGAATCAGTAATAATAAGCCTACCAACCAGGAAAACCCAGGATCAGATAGCCGAATTCTACCAGATGTATAAAGAAGAGCTGGTACCATTCTGAAACTATCCCAAAAAAATGAAAAAAAAAAAATTCCTCCCTACCTCATTCTATGAGATCAACGTCATACTGATAACAAAACCTGGGAAAGACATGGCAGAAAAAGAAAATGTCAGACCAATATCCTTGATGAACATAGATGCAAAATCTTCAACAGAATACTAGCAAGCTGAATCTACCTGCACATCAAAAATACAATCCCTTACGATCAAGTATGCTTTATCCCTGGGATGCAAAGTTGATTCAACATATACAAATCAATAAATGTGATTCATCACATAAAGAGAACTAAAAATAAGAGCCATATAATTATTTCAATAGATGAAGAAAAGGCTTTTGATAAAATTCGACATCCCTTCATATTAAAAACCCACAACAAAATAGGCATGGAAGAAACATATTTCAAAACAATGAGAACCATCTATGACAATCCCATAACCATCATACTGAATAGGCAAAAGCAAGCAGCATTCTCTTTAAAAACCAGATCAAGACAAGAATGACCTCTCACCATTCCTATTCATCATAGTACTGGAAGTTCTTGATAGATCTATCTGGCAAGGGAAAGAAATAAAAGGCATCCAAACAGGAAGAGAGGAAGTCAAAGTATCCCTGTTTACAGACAATATGATTCTAAACCTAGAAAAAGTCACAGTCTCTGCCCAAAAGTTCCTTAAGCAGGTAAACAATTTCAGCAAAGTTTCAGGACACAAAATCAATGTACAAAAATTAGTAACACCTTTATACACCAACAATCTACAAGCCGATGGCCAAATCAAGAATGCAATGCCATTCACAATAGCCATAATAGGAATAAAATATCTAGGAATACAACTAACCCAACGAGGTGAAAGTCTTCTACATTCAGAATTATGAAACACTATTCAAAGAAATCAGAGATGACACAAACAAATGGTAAACCATTTCATGCTCAATAACAGGAAGAATCAATATTGTTAAAATGGCCATACTGCCCAAAGCAATGTACAAATTCAGTGCTACTCTTATCAAACTACCAATGACATTCTTCACAGAATTAGAAAAAAACTATGTTAAACTTCATACGGAACCAAAAAAGAGCATAAATAGCCAAGAGAAATCTAAGCAAAACCAACAAAGCTGGAGGCATCACATTACCTAACTTCAGACTATGTTACAAGGTTGCAGTAACCAAAACAGCATGGAAGTGGTACCAAAAAAAGACACATAGACCACTGGGACAGAATAGAGAGCCCAAAAATAATTCTGTACACCTATAATCATCTAATATTCAATGAAGTCAAGAAAAACAAGCAAAGAGGAAAGGATTCTCTATTTTAAAATGGTGCTGGAATAACCAACCAGCCATATGCAGAACATTGCAACTGGACCCCCTCCTTACACCATATTAAAAAAAATCAACTCAAGATGGATTAAAGACTAATGTAAAACCTAAAACTACAAAAACCCTGGAGATTGCTTCTTGGCCTTTTGGCTAAGATCAAGTGTAAAAACCCTGAAAAATAACCTAAGAACTATAATCCTGGACATAGGACCTAACAATAAGGGTGGATTTAATGACAAAGACACCCAAAGCAATTGCAACAAAAACAAAGTTGACAAATAGGGCCTAATTAAACTAAAGAGTTTCTGCACAACAAAAGAAACTATCAACAGAGTCAACAGACAACCTATAGAATGGGATAAAATAGAATGGGATCCTATAGAATGGGAGGAATATTAAGCCAAACTTGGACAGTGTATAAGAACTAAGGGCATACCAGAGGAACTATGATCAAATGAAGTCACTACTGCTGTTTTGGCACTCTGATAGCTGAAATTGCCACAGACATAAATTCCAAATTATCCAAAGTTATGTGTTTCTATCACTTAATCCAGATTTTAAATGTTGGACAAAAATCCAAATTAAAATAATTAAATAAAGACATTTTGATTCCCAGATTAGTATATGAGGAAAACAGAGGTAACTCCACGAAAGAAAGAATGTCGGGAGTGGCACAGTGTAATAAATTAGAAGACAGAGGGGTTCAAACTAATAGCCTCATTCAATAACTTATTTCTCACAAGGTTAAAGTTTTCCTAAGTTTTAACATATTACAATGAGCAACTTTAATAAAATTACTTTTTAAAATGAACAAAAAGTAACTATTGTTCATAATTCATTATCATTTGACAATCAACAATATAGATAAATGAGTTTACTCTGAATTGACAAGATTATATTAAGCTAGAAGTATAACTATCTGCAGGGCCTGTTTTACTAGATTCAATACATTTTTAAGAATTCTACAGCAATTTGGAGTTGCCTCAGAAGTCTCAAGGGATGGCTTGGGAGGCAGAGGGAGCAGAGCTCTGGAGAATTCTGTTTTAATTAAAGCAGTTTTTGGAACATTTACTACATTGGAGGTCTGCATAAAATTATTATTTTGAAAGGATTTTGAGCTCCCAAAATTTGAAAACCAGTGAATTATAAAATGGCAGCTTCTACCCACACTATAAAGAAACAATCTGTATATAAATGAATTCTGTTGTTTAAAGAAAATGATTTATTTGTTTCATAAATGAACTACGTTTTATCAAGTGTTTACTACAAAGCAGATACTTTTCTAGAATTTTCAATTAGCTATTGAATTTAAATAAGTTTTATAGAAGGATACGGATCTCGTGTTTGGTAGCATAATTAGGGAAATATAGTTAACAGTAATGTATTTATATTTCAAAATAGCTAGAAAAGATTTCAATCGACCCATCATAAATAAATGATCAACGTTTGAGAAAATGAATCTTCCAAATACCCAGATTTGATTATTATACTTTATAGGTTCATATCAAAATATCATATGTACCTTATAAATATTTACAACTAGTATGTGTTCCTAAAAATTAACAATAAAATTAAAAGTTAAATATCTTCACAGGTTTGCCATTGCATGTAAACAAAAAAAAGTTAGACATATGTACAATCATTTCAAAACACATTTAGTTTTATGTACTTAGAATCTCTTGGCATGTTTTGGTGTTGCCAATTAATTTTCACTCAAACATTCTGGTCTACCCTACTCAATAAAAGCCTTGTTACAGTTGGGTTGAAACACCAAGAGGTTCAATGGGTTAATGAGACTAATGTAATATCCCTCTGCTGTATTTACACAAGTGGAATCCCTTCATTATGTTAATAGAATGCTGTAAGCAAGCCCATGCTTTCTTGAAAGTACACTTGCATAGACTGTACAATACCTAAAGGTGAACCCTAATGTAAACGATGAACTTTGGGTGATTATCGTATGTCAGTGTAGGTTTATCAGTTATAACATGTGTACCACACTGGTGCAGAATGTTGATAAAGGGGGAGGGTATACATGTGTAAAAACAGAGAAGACATAAGAAATCTCTGTGCCTCTCTCTTATTTTTGCTGTGAATCTAAAACTTCTCTAAAAACAGCAAGTACTAAAATTAAAAAGTGCATTTGAATATACTTGAATGCCACAAAGTATCTGAAAATATTGTAAATCTAAAAGGCTCCAGCCAAGGAGAAAATAAATTCTTACAGTAATCCTCTTATTGGCAAAAACTATCACTTCCTCTTAAACAGCTGTTAATCATCCACATTTAATCTCCAGTTTCTAACCACAAAAGGAAACTAGAAGGTATATTAAAGAATATCTTCCTATATAGAGAAAACTTTAAAATATGTATTTATATATGCTTTTCATATAATAAAATTTGCTTTGTCTCTCACTTCTAGCTTGTTAGAGTTGGCAGAACTATTACATGCATTTGTATCTTCTGCCTATTGCCTTTCTCCTTTGCTTCATCTTCCAAATTGGAGCATAGGTATGATGCCTAGACCTGTAAAAGCCATTTTGTAAGAATGAGAATAGTGCTACATTCTAAGGAAGGTGGAATGGAAGGTTAAGAACAGTTAAGGTAACTGAGGACATAATGGAACTGCCATACTTACTCTCAATATTCTTCAATACTACGTATGGAACAGAAAAAATATCCTGACGTAGCCATATTACTGGTTCATTCAACTGAAAGTAATTCTAATTGATATGACAACTGCAGATATTTATTGATTTATTATAGAAGTTAGAAATTGAGATGACAAAACACAAAGGTGAAAGGAGGTATAAGTTATACATGTTTTACTTTTTCCTATGTTGCCACACATGACTATAAATGTCCCAAATTAAAAACACATAGATATTCAATGTTAGATGTATTCATGAAATAATATTTTCATTCAATAAAATAATCTTCTATATATTAACAAATATTGATGGATTTTTTAATTATGTAAATTTTATAAACACATATTTTTCCAAGAACAAATAAGAAATATCATTAATTCAATGAAACTAAAATATGAAAAATTACTTTTATGTGTTTATTCAGTTCATATTCAACTTAAAGCAACTCATCTGGATTATTGGTCAAAATTCAGTTTGTTTATTCTTTTTAGAAAAAATATATTTTATATAATAAATGTCTGCATGAGGTTTTATAGTGATATTTCTATAAATATTACCTGATTAATTCTGAAGATTCTGAAATTTGAATTCAAGTGTTATAGAAGAAATGAACCTATACATGGTGCTCAGATCAGATCTGCACAAAACACTCCTAAATTATTATTAACATGGGCCCTGAAGGAAGACGGTCACATACTTTTGCTGAAGACAGAAGTCAAACAGGATTTGTAGGCCTAAATTATACAATTTGTCAGTTCCTAGATTTTATAACATAAATTGACAAATAAAAAAACCTATTTAAAAATCATTTAAATAGCTACACCCTTATAGGTCTTTCCATTTATAAATTACATGTTTATGTAATAATTGTAGACAGAAATTTTGTTCATATTAATTAATTAGAAGTCATATATGAGGCTGGCCACCATGGCTCATGCCTCTAATCCCACTACTTTGGGAGGCCAAGGTGGGTGGATGATTTGAGGTCAGGAGTTTGAGACCAGCCTGGCCAACATGGTAAAACCCCGTCTCTACTGAAAATACAAAAATTAGCCAGGCGTGGTGGTGGACGCCTGTAGTCCCAGCTACTCAGGAGACTGAGGTAGGAGAAATGCTTGAACCTGGGAGGCGGACATTACAGTAAGCCAAGGTCACGCCACCGCACTCCATCTTGGGAGACAGAGTGAGACTTTGTTTCAAAAAAAAAAAACAAGTCATCATACGAAACAAGTCCATAAACCACAGTTTAATGCACAGTTTGAATACTAAATAAGATGTTGGCCACACCTGCCTTTCCTCCCAAAGTGAACTTTCGTTTATTTGACACAGTTTAGGAGTAGATATTTTGTTTAATGCCTCTTTTATATCCGCTGAAAAAGAAAATTTCAACATAATATTTGAAATTGTTCAGGGGCTCATGACTGTATTTTTTCTCTTTATCAGATTGTTTCTCAAATGTATTCATAATCTTTAATTTCACAATATATTTGGTCAAATTTACATACATGCAAACATGTATACACACCATATTTATACATATTCTCATTTTTCTTTTTATGTATGAATATCAATTCCTCAACATAATGTTAAGATATTTCCAACATTGATATGGTAAATATTGCTCAATGCATTCACAATTCAGTAAAAATGCATATAAATCTTAGAGGCATATTGAATCTTTTGCATTCACTCTTAATTCAAGAAGTCACTACAGGAGATAACATTTTTATGTAAAATAAAATTTACATAAAATTATACATAAGAATTAAATTTCAAAAGGAGTTGGATAATGCTTATACTGTTGTGCTCATTTTTTCCTATTTTAGCATAAATTACAACAAATTTTCTAAGGCAAAAACACTGTCAAAAGGAGATATGGTTGTGAAATAATACAGTTAATCAAATAGTTTCTAGTATATTAACAAATATTGATAGATTGATTATATTGAAATGTTTCCAAAAATAAGGTACTTATAAAGGTAGCATTTAATGTACAGACTAAATAAGCTTCAGAAAGCATTCAATTTAAACCTACGTGATCTACGTATTATTTTGATTGAATATACTGTGTGAAATGTAAAAAACATGCATACAAAGAAAAATGAACAAATGATCATGACATGCTAACAGTAATCACAGAGACACAGTAGCAGACAACACAGTAAAAGATTAAAGTGATGCTGAGTTTTCACTGATGTATGTTCTGTCACAAAAAGTTTAGGCCACCAGTAACAGAGTATGTAATAAAAGATTAAAGAGATACTGAGTTTTCACTGATGTATTTTCTGTCATAGGAAGTTTAGGCTATTGTTTTCCCAACACCTCAAGTGGGAAAATAAATACCTTCTAGGCAAATAGAAAGTTTCTGTAGGCCAAGGTAATTTAGTATCTGTTCTGGCAGATGACATATGCAATTTTTTATCCTCTCTGAGACCACCTGAAGAGCTGTCCTTGTGTGCCTAAGTGGTTACTAAAATACCTCTTTGTAAGTGTTTACCTGAAGGCTATAGGAAAAGTGAGATGTCTTCTCAATTCTGGAGAAATTCAATTTAATAAAGTTGATTTTAAGCTCTATTACATCTCAACTCTATTTTCTCCATGGTTATTTCAGAGGGAAGGAAGGGAAGTCTCTGTTGGAAAACAGATCTGTGGTGTCAAAAGACAGTATTTGGATTCTTGTCTTCAGAACACTGAAAATAATTCATGGGTAATCAGAAAAAGCCATTCTGAAAAAATAAAAATACAATGACTCCTTAGGAAGGGAAAATAAAATAAGAATGCACCTGGATCCTTGGTACTGTTTCAACAAAAGTAATTTCTGTCTCTTGAGCATACTAGGCATTTTCCTGACTCTTCTCTGCATGGAGCAGTTTTCAGTTTGAAATTCAAGGGAAATTTCCTTTACCTCCTTCGGACTTATTCTAATCACATGCTCTCAATAAACCTATCTTAGGCCACCCCACCCTCCATGCCAACACTCCTAATCCTTCTCACCCTGTTCTATTTTTTTTCTTTTTTCTTTAACATTTCTTTTCTTCTTACAAACTGGATATTTTACTTAAACGTTTTATTGTCACTCCTTCTCGTAGAATGAAAGTTGCGCAAGGGCAGATGCTCAGGCAGTATCTGTGGAGATGATGGGTGGATAAAGAAATAATTAATACTCTGTAAATGTTTATTTGCTTTTAATATGTGCCATGTCCTTTCAGACACTCTAGATATTTTCTCTGTTTATACATAAATATTCTAATGTGAAATATAGCTATTAAATAAATGCTTAAATGTCATCAATAAATATGAAATATTATGGGAAATTATAGGAGATAATGATATCAAATCCAGGGCTTCAGAGAAGTTCCACTACGAAATTGAGCTAAAATTTTGTTCTGATGAATGAGTAAAAAAAAATTTCTAAGAAATATGAGCAAAAAGCTTTTTGTTTGCAAACCTTGTTTGAGTCACCTTGTTTGTTGACCAAGTAACAGTATTCAGATTATACTTAATCTTTGTTATCAGAAATTTGGTCTCATTCTTTCTCGTGTGACCCATATCCTCCAAAATAAAAATAGAATCACTTTATTGATTGGCATAGGTAGTCAAGACACCCTTACAAATGATTGACTATTTAAATATAAAGTTAGATACAACAAATACTTGTTTTATATACAAGCAAAGGGGTGATGCAATGAGGGTTGTTACATCTCTTACTTTTACACACTAAATTTATCAACAACTACTGATTAAACCAGAGCTAGTAAAACACAGTGTAAACTCTGACTAAAAATATCTCTAACTTAGCAGAAGAGATTTGGCTCCTTTCCTCATGATGATAAGGTATAAATATTCCACGGAGCACTAACTAGAGAGGAAGGGGTACACATGAAAGATATCTTGGCTATTTGGATTCTCATCAGACAATTTGCCCCTCTGTACATCCCTTTTTTTTCCCTAGCAGAATGAGGTGAAGACTAGAAAAGGGAAAATTGTCTGTATTGAAGAGGTAAGAATCATCAAATGTCTTCAGTTTCATGTGAATATAATCAGGAGAAGGTGAAATAGAGATGGTGTGTGAATTCTTATGCGTCGGTTCACAAAGTTGCTATCTCACCTCAGACAATACCCTCACTCACAGGATAATGCATTCTTGGCAAATATCATAGCAGCCTCTTTAAGAATATCTACAGGATGGGTCTGCTTGTACAGTTGTGCAGCTAAGGCACTGGTAGGAATTGTTTGCTGTGTACTATGAAAAAAAATCTGATGTAGATGTTAATATTTGATAACATTAAAAGATGAGAGAACAAGCTGTCCAATCCTGGTGTTTCTGAGATTTTGGTCAGCTGTAAACCAAAAGTGTACATATTCATTTTTCTCATTTGTCTTGCACTTTTATGGCAAGACAAAATAAGTGAGTAGGTTGAGTCTGTGCACGTTTCTGAAGAACGCACAGAGGAAGGGTGAGACTAGTAATTGGGTGTGTGGAGTATCCTTCCAGGACACCTACTGAATGTTCTTTTGCCTATTACAGTGAGAAGAGTTTTTATTAATCACTAAGTATTTGATCACTTATTCTCAATATTTATGTAAAACAAAGGACACAACTGAATGTCAGCGTTACAATTAATGCTATTAGTCTCATAATATTTCAATATATATTGTTCTTTCAGATTTAGGTATTTTACCTCTTTGTACAATGAATAGTTGGAGAGATTCTCCAAATATATATATTTTGGAGATGGTGTCTCGCTCTTGTTGCCCAGGCTGAAGTGCAATGGTGCAATCTCTGCTCATTGCAACCTCCACCTCCCGGGTTCAAGCGATTCTCCTGCCTCAGCCTTCTGAGTAGCTGGAATTACAGGCACGTGCCACCACTCCAGGCTAATTTTTTGTATTTTTAGTAGAGACAGAGTTTTGCCATGTTGGCCAGGCTGGTCTCAAACTCCTGACCTCAGGTGATCCACCCGCCTTGGCCTCCCAAAGTGCTGGGATTATAAGCATGAGCCACTAGTTGGAGAGATTCTTATATGCAAGAAAATTTTCTTATTCTCCATAAAAACCCTCTATGTTTTATTTCCTTAAGAATAATGCATATTTGTGGTTATGCTCAAGCCAGGTGTTACTGTTACTTAGCTAGTTTCTTTTTAACTGGTTTATGTCTAACTGACTCTAGTCTTTGTCTTTCCCACCAGCTGTACACTCAAACAGCTGTGCCTCCCCCTCTTTCACTCAGAGCAATTTCCAGGGACTTGTATTTAAAGGAGAGTGAAATGTTGTCTCTAATTATAACAGCAATCTGTTCCACAGCAGTTTTCACACTCTACTTACATTCCTTACTGTGTTTTTCCAATAGTTTTACCCTTTCTTCCATTTCTCTAATTTTTGCTCTAAACGCATCAAACTGCTGATTAACTGAATTATTTTTCACGTTCATTAATTCTAGCACACTTTTTTTGAAGCCTGTATGGTTGTTTGCATTGATATTTAACATCAAGTTTGAGTTATTTCTCAACTAGTAATCCATGCAACTTTATTCATTCATAAATAAAAACATTCCCACTCTATCCCTCCCATTGTAGTTACTATGGATAAAGTAAAAATGGATACTGTGCTTCTTATTAAGTATAATAATTTAATTCCCTCAAGAAGAGTTGCTTTACCAACTTAGTTCTAATTCTTATCCAGCCTATATTTGTTAAAAGAAGTAAGTCCCTATGTTAGACCCTATTGTAAATATAGTTATAGTTCTCGTTAAGTTAGTAAACAGGAACTTTACTAGATTGTGTGCGTGTCTGTATGTCTGTGTGTGTGTGTGTGTGTGTGTGTGTGTGTATGGGTGTATATGCACATACATATCACAAGATTTTACACCAACCTCTACCCTCGACAACACATCTTTGGGTACAAATAAATAGATGGTTTTAAGGATGGATATTTCTTGTCATAGCGTTTGTCTCCTTACTGTTACTCAGTGATGCAAAGCTAAAAAGAGCACTGTGCTCATGGTGGAAAATAATTGCCAGGACTTGACAGGGAAGAATGTACTCATTCCACACCCCGGGCAGAAGTCTGCTGAGATCAACAGAAGAAAGATAGTTAGTGAGCAAATTCATCAAGACCAATATCATGTATTTCTCCCCCTGGCCTGATGGCTGATTTGCACTCCTCCTGTAAGCAACAAAACTGCAAAACCAGTGCTACAAAACAGAAGCACCTGTAAGTCCGTGGAAGCACATCTTTGCTCAACAAGAGATCCTGACAACTAACAACTAACAACCGTCTGCCTGAGACACAGTTCGAGTTTTTAAGATGCATCAGTTCCCCTTTCCAGCCTGAAGCCTTATCATCAAACAATGCTTCCAATGCTTGGCATCTTGAATTACAGAATCATAAACTATTAGAGCTTGCTTGGTGGGCAATTATGTGAGGCCACCCTCACACTTTCCAAAAGATAATGAGTGTAGGCTAATTTGATGGCATTTCAAGGTCATGCATCTCTTTGAAAAAGAGATCAGAATAAAATCCAGATTTCAAATTCCTGATCTAGTGTTATTTTTATGCTGCCTTCCTTAAATAGTTATTTCTTAAAGTTAAACTAAAAGTAATCAAGTCACAGGAAGCCTCTGAATTAACATGACATTTTGAAGACTATGATTTTCAAGATAAGCCTTCTTAACCTTATCCTCAAGCAATCAGCTGTTGTTTGAACTTTACAACAGATAACCCATGCTTTTGTTTTTCTTTTTTTTTCTTTTTTTTTTTTTTTGCCAGATCCCCTGATGAATGAGTGGAGAAATTGTTGAGTTGGCAGCCCAAGTTTACGAAAACAATCTGTAGCACTGGAACAGTGAAGCTAACTGGCACATATGGGCAGTGAAAACATGGCCATGGCCTCATTAGCACCATGTGTTAACAAATGGAGCTAAGCAGTCAAGTGTGAAGGTGAGGCAGGCATGGAGAAGGTCTGTGTACCCTAAAATGGACATGCTTGGTTTCACTGTGGAGTTTTTCCTGGTTGTAATTAAAACCTGATCCTTTCCAGCTGTAGTGGCACAGACTGTTTTAAGATAAACTCAATCTATAATTAAAAAGCTCATTAATCATTTCCCAAATTATTGGTTGTAATATAAAATGGAGATGGAAACCATTCCTGCTGTGAAAAATGGTAACAATATTAATAATTGTGGCTGTAACAGATGTTAATGGTAAAGGGACCTCTCTGTTACTGCTCATAGTTTTCCATTTTCACACCTCAATCACTAAGCAAGCAACTGAATATCCAAGTAATCTTTAATTCAATGTGTTTTCTATTTTTAAATACATTCAGCATTTTTAAGTGTATTCATTGTGATATAAGAATTTTAGTTGTGATTTCAGATTAAATTTATTAAAATACACTCAAAGTACCTAAATGTAACTGGACTAAAAATGAGATTATTTAACTTTTATGGTCACTGAAAATCCATCTAAATACTTACTCTTAATATTTCTAGCTATCAGACTTTGAGCTTTTCTCTGTCCTAGAACTCAATCTTCATATCAACTTTATGAGTTTATAGAAATAAAGGAACTTGCCCAAACTAATGGGAATAATCAACAGAACTCTAAATAGGTGACCATTTTAGCTGTGGTTCTATGGTAAAGAACTTCCCAATATTGTGTGTGACCAAATGTTGGTTTCCCTGGGAGATATCCAGGTTGTATTTATTGTCCCCGAGACCCTTATGGTGCATTTAGCAGTTGTTCCTGATTTTTTTTGTTTGTTTAAAATCATTATCAATAGTTGCATTAATTTAGGATGGATTGATTTAGGATTGGTTTGGCATATCTCTAATTTTTACTTTCATCTTCTGATATTGTCTCTATTGTATTGTGTGAGACACTCATGGGTAGAGAATTGAATTCTAACACATTTCAGTCTGAAAGACAACCAAAAACCCAATTTTAATTTCTGGACCTTTTCCAGAAGCAAAAGAGCCAACATATTTAAGGACAGCACGCTAACTAATAAAATGAGGTACACTCTTCTACGTGGCTATCCTTGCTGGCCACTTTAAAATAGCTAGGGTGCCACGACCCTTGCTGAAGTTAGAAGATACCAAAAGCTACCAGGGTTAATGAGAAATTCTGTCAATTTTTATTGGCTATATTTTAAATATATGTATTATACAAAGAGTAATCCTGCAGTAGAACACATAGTAGTCCAGATGTGTTGTTATAATGATTATTTTTGTCATCTGTGGTTCAAAACTACAATTCTATATTTGTTATATTGTCATGCTTTTGCCTTTGTTGCTCTGTATTTTAAAAAAAAAACAAAACATTCAGCAGCAATAAGCCCAAACAAGTACATGTGCAATGGAAAAATAAGTTCTGAGTTTCTATTGTTTAGGATAGTTGATATCAAAAACGTAATCACACAAAATGTTCATGTTGCACGTTTGCCATCCACATTGGTGACACAATGAAGCACAAGAGAACTCTGGGACTTGAATTTGTTGAACAATCAGTATAAAGCTAGTTGATATGTGAAAAAAATGTGTGCCCAAATATAATAATTTAGCAAGAGTAACTGCTGAAAGTGTGTTTACACACCTCCCTATGAAAGCCAAATCTGCATTCAAAGATTTCTTTCCAAAATTGTTTTTACTATACTCATCTTCAAGTTTTCCTATGCACTTCCTATGCACTACAAAAAATGAAATAACCATGAATGTGTGGCTATGCTAACAGAACTCCATAGATAAGAAAATGATCCCAGTATATATCTATGTCATCAGATAACTTCAAATGCAAAGTCAGTGGAATCCTGATATAGGTTAATTTTTAAAATCCAATTTGTGAAATCAAAGTGAAGTCAAAAAAAATTCATTCTGTCAAAGGCTAAACCCTAGCCATTACTTTGAATGCTACCGTAAGGTTATTATTAGCTGTCATATTTTGCCAATTGAAACAGAACTTGTAGTTATCTGAGTTTACTTATGCATACACATACAGACAGAATATAATTAAAATACAAAATTTTAGTTATGTGACTCTTGTACAAAACAAAACAAAATTCTGCATATTATGATATTTTGCACTCTGATGCCCATTATCAGTTATATTTTAGAAATGTCTGTCCTTGGAAAAACTATTTTATAAATCAACCTAAAGAACCATGTGCGGTATTTAACATTATGTAAGGCAACACCTATATTTCAGTTGAAATTTATTTAAAGTTGAAAATTTTATTCAAAATATTCACTGAATAGGAAGCTAAAATTTAATCCTTAGTAGCTTTTAGTATGTGTAGTTATTTAAAACAAGACTTAGAGCTTCCTGTTTTCCCAGGAAGCACCCAGATGGCAGCGTGGGTCTCCCCACCCATCCCACCACTGGTAGCCAGGCAAGCTACACCTGCTAGAGTTTCTAGCCCAGTGGTGCTACTTCTGCCTACATTTGCCAAGGGGTGAAACTTCCTGTTTCCCTAAAAATACCCAGATGGTGTGGGGGCAACTCCAGCCATCCCACCTCTCATACCCAGATGGGCCATACCTGCTATGGCTTCTACCTCAGCAGTCCTGTTTCAACCTGAACTCTGTGGGCAGGCACAGACCTTGTTTCCCTATGAAGAACACAGACAGCACATTGGGGCTGACCTGGCCAGGATGCCATTTGTATGCCAACTGCAGCCCCTACCTGAGGGAGCCTCATTGACCAGAATACCCTACAATAGAAACACGAGCATGGAGACAGTAATCAGAGGGGGCTTCTCTAAGACCCAGGAGCAGACTAGAATAGAAGTCAGAGAACCACACCCACTTTATACCATAATCAAATTCCCAAGGGCATGAAGAAAGAAAAAAGCATAATATTTCCGAAGGACAGCAACTTCAAAGATTAAAGGAACAGCAGTCCACACAAATGAGAAAGAACCAGTGTAAGAACTCTGACAACTCAAAAAGCAAGAGTATCTCCTTACCTCCAAATAATTGCATGAGCTCACCAGAAATGTTTCTTACCCAGGCTGAAATGACTGATACGACAGAAATAGAATGCAGAATACTGATAGGAATAAAGATCATTGAGATGCAGGAGATAATCAGACCCTCTCTGTGTTATGTAAGGATTCAAATTTTAAAATACAGAAGCTGATAGACAAAATGGCTATTATAAGAAAGAAGCAAAATGACCAGAGCTGAAAAACAAACTAGAAGAGTATCTTAATCCAATTGCAAGTATTGACAGTAGAATTGACCAAGCTGAGGAAAGAATTTCAGAACTTGAAGAGTGGCTGTATGAAGTAACTTTGTCAGAAAAAAAGTTTTAAAAATCAACAGAGAAGAATGAACAAAACCCCTGAGAAATATGTACTCAGGTAAATCTATAACTCATTGGTGTCCCTGAAAGAGAGGGAGAAAAACCAAGCACCTTGGAAAATATATTTCAAGATATCAGCCATGAAAATTTCCCCAACTTCGGTAGAGAGGCCAACATCCAAATTCAGGAAATGCAGAGAAACCTTGTCAGATACTACAGAAGAAGACTACCCCCAAGACACATAATCATCAAATTCTTAATGTTGAAATGAAAGAAAAAAAAATGTTAAAGACAACTAGAGAGAAGAGGCAGGTCACTTACAAACAAAACTCCATCAGGCTAACAGCAGACCAATGGCAGACACTGCAATCCAGAAGAGACTGGGGGCCTATATTCAGAATTCCTAAGGGAAAGAATTTTCAACCAAGAATTTCATATCCAGCCAAACTAAGCTTCATAAGCAAAGGAGAAATCAGATTCTTCTCAGACAAGAAAATGCTAAGGAGGATTGTTAACACCAGACCTGCCTTACAAGCAGTCCTAAAATGAGTGCTAAATATGGAAAGTAAAGACCATTACTGGCCACTACAAAAACACAGTAACATAGAACAGTGACAGCATAAAGCAGCCACACAAACAAGTCTGCATAATAACCAGCTAACAAAGTGATGACAGGATCAAATCCAGACATATCAATAGTAATTTTGAATATAAATGGGCTAAACTCCCCAAATAATGGCCACAGAATGGCAAGTTGATGTAAGAAGCAAAACCCAATGGTATGCTGTATTCAAGAGATCCATGTCACATGCAATGACACCCATAGGCTCAAAGTAAAGGGATGGAGAAAAATCTGTCAAGTTAATGGAAATCATAAAAAGGCAGGGGTGGCTATTCTAATTTCAGACAAAACAGACTTTAAATAAAACAAAACCAAAAGATCAAAAAAGACAAAGTGAAGCATCACATAATGTCACATAATAGCAAAGAGTTATTCTAAACAAAAAGACCTAATTGTCCTAAATACATACACACCCAACACAAGCACCCAGATTTATAAAGCAAGCTCTTAGAGACCAACAAGGGGACTTAGATAACCACCCAATAATAGTGGGAGACTTCAACACCACACTGAGAGAAACAGACTGACCATTGAGGCAGAAAACTAAACAAAGATATTCAGGAACTGAACTGAATATTTGAACAAATGGACCTGATAAACATCTATAGACC